TTGGTGTAGCTGTTGTTCCCCCTCTCCAGTCTCTTGTCTCAATCCAGGAGAGGGTATAGGTTAAAAAAGGGTAAAAGGGCTGGGCGTTATTGGACAAGTATATTTGTTTATTTCTGCCCCCCATTTTGTAGGACTCATCTTTGTTAAAGTATAAAGCAAAGTAAATCCTCCATGTCTTTCTCTTGTAGCAGTACTGCTCCATATATTTTTTTCTCTCTCTTTCTAGTGCAGGTGGCCCATCTTTGTTAAAGAAGTAAAGTTCATGGCCAGTCCTTAAACTTATAGTGGTGTGTCGTTTCGGTCTCTTAACTTAGAAAGTGTGTCATTTTGGTCCTTAAATTTTGTTTGGGTCTCGTATTCATCCTAACGGATCTAGTCCACTTGTCAGCTCTATCTCTCTATCTCTCATCGATGTCGTTCCACAGCGCCCGCTGCAGCGCGCCGTCCTCGACCTCGTACAAGACACGATGCCAGCAGTCTCCCGCCGCGTCCATCACCCTGTCAGTGCATTCTAGATAGTCAAAGGGCTCCTGGGAGTCACCGGGGTTGTACTCCTCGACGATGGTGCGGCCCGTCTCAACTTGCCCAGCGAACGGCGGAACTGGAAGGAGACGGCATCGTGGGCCGCGAGCGCCACGACGTCCGCGCAGGACACCGCCGACTTCTTCGTGCCCCGGCCGTCCAGCAGCACCGACGCCGTCGCACCCCTGCGGGAAACAGTCGTGGAAGTAGCTCATGTTCTCCTGTCGCTAGACAAGATCAGATATCAGAGTACAACTCACAAGTGCATCTCTACTCACCATCACCGAGTGAAAAAGCAGCAGCCCGGCGGCGACGTGAACGGGCGCCTAGGCGGCGGGGATGCGCACGCGTGGCCAGGCGGGGGCAACGCGCACGCGCATCCAGGCCGCGGCCCACGGCGATGCGTACGTGCAGCCAGGCGGGGGCGACGCGCACCACTGGATGAGAGGAAAAAGACGATTTGTTTTCAAAACAACCCCTCATAAAATTTATAAATATTAGTGTTATTTTTGTGTCTGGGCGGATTTATATATAACCCCCGCTATTCTTCTGTACCAAGCAATCAAGTCTTATCTAGGTACGCGGGCACGGATCCAAACCCGTTTGGATGAATATGAGACCAAACAAATTTTAAGGACTGAAACGACACGCTTTGTAAGTTTAGGGATCGGGATGACACACCCCTACAAGTTTAAGGACCGACCATGAAATTTACTCTTGTTAAAGTATAAGGCGTGGTATGTGCAGTCTTCTGTTCTCAGATTTTTGTGGTATGTTTTTTTACGAAATGATTTTTGTGGTATCTCACGAATGGAGTTTGGTACGGTTGTTCGGAGGATGGAGGATGAAGTTGGTAAGGAAGAAAGAAAAAAAGCAGAGGATGACCGAACAAACCCCATGCGGGGGCCCTGCAATTAACCGGACTAAGACTGTCTCTAACAACCACGACCCAAAATTCAAGACTCATTCATTATTTGGGTAGCGCTACAGATAAAGGGTTCAATACAACAAGACTCAAAAGACAACCATTTCTGCAAATAAGTCTCCAGGAGAGAGGATACTCAAATTTGAGTTATGCCTCTCCTGACACCCAAAATAGGTCTTCAATATAGGTACTCTATTGAAGGCTATAGATATTGTGTTGGAGACATATTTTAGATTTGGGTTCTACAATTGGTCTCCTCTTGGAGACAGCCTAAATGAAACTGCAACCTTTGGTCCATATTCAACTTAATATAGCTAACAGGGCCGTCCCTTGGTAACACTATCCATGCTATCCAACTAGCAACTAGCAAGCTTTCATCCAGGATCATGCCAGATAGGAACTCACCTAGTTCACAAGTTCGCTTCTCACGAAAATATACATAGTTTAAGTCCTACAATACAAGTTTGACATCACATTAGTTCACATTGCACAACATTACATTATAGTGGAAGTTCATCAAACATATAATTTATAGATATGGGCATTTGAAGTTTCAGAGATCTATCTATAGTTCATCAAACATATTTATATATGGGCATTTAAAGTTTCAGGTACTTATTTATAAATAAAAAAGACCTGTTTTATAAATATTTTGTAAGCTAGGGACTAAAACATAGAGCCTTTTTGCAAATTATCAATATCAACTAATAATATAATACTAATTTATGTCGTACTTTTCATCTTCCCTAATGGACCTAAACATTAAAGCACGTTAGAGAACACATGCAAATAAGCCTTTCAAGAGATTGAGAATGCCTGAAGGTTTTGTTAAATTCGGTTGAAACGTTTTGAATATTACTTTGAAAATGTGAGGCCTCTTCTTAAGACTAAAATAAAATATATTTGTATTTTTTTAAAAAAAAAACTTGTGTATAAAATTATTTAAAATATCAATATTTTTGCAAGTAAAAAATAGCACTTTTATTTTTTAAAACTTATTTCAAATTTTATTTTAAAGTAGTGAAAAATCTATTCGTAGTAAAACACGGTAGCTAGATTAATATCTTAAAATACTTTGACAAGATATTGTTTTTGAATCTATTTGTCGGTGTTTCGGACCGGGGGTCCTCAACCAACCAGTAAAAGTGAACTGCGTGCCCCTAATCCCGGATGGTGATGCAAAGAGACACAAGGTTTATACTGGTTCAGACAATTGGTGCCCTACGTCCAGTCTGAGAGATCGGTCTTATATTCTTTGCACCGAAGTGCTTGTAGTAGGGGGTTACAAGCTGGGTGAGAAAGGGAGCTAGTCCCAGGTCTCGGCATGGGACGGTGCGAGGTGCTTGAGACGCTGCTCTCAAGCAGCCTGGGAGCGTGGGTGTTACAGGATGTGTCTAGGGCGAGTATGGGAGCGCGGTTCTATCGTACGTTCTTCCTCTTTCTCCCCGGGCTATCCCTGGCCGCTTCCTTTTATAACCGCAAGGAAGGAGCCAGGAATATATGAGTGAGCTACACGTGGAGCCTACTGTAGTTTAGTCCTGTAGCAGCATGGCGTTGGGAATGGAGATCAGTACTTGTCTAGCGCGCCGTGCTGGTCAGGTTTGAAGTGGTAGAGGTAAGGATGGCAACGGATCGGGTTTGGGGCGGATATCCGCGGGTTTCGGGTTCTGCGGGTTCGGGTTTGGGGCTGGTTTTTTCACCCACGGTTTTCGGGTTTGGGGCCCCGAAACCATTCGGGTTCGGTTTCGGGTTTGGTTTTCCACCCGTGGATATCCAATGGATATCCGAAATAAATCATTTGGAATTAAAACTCATGTTTTATAATATACTAATAATAATTTGTTTACTTAGATTATTAAATTTATTTAAAGTTGACTCATGAAAATATTTATTATTTGTTGCCTCTTGTTTATACATGTGAATATGTGTATATATATCCGCAGGTTTTGGGTATCTATTCGGGTTTCGGGTATCCGTTCGGGTTTCGGGTATCCGCGGGTTTGGTTTTGGTGATGGATTTCCACCCGAATCGGTTTTCGGGGCGGATTCGGGTTTCGATTTCAGGTTTCGGTTTTGGGTGCACGGAGACTCCACCCGATCCAAACCCGACCCGTTGCCATCCTTAGGTAGAGGTCGTGGGAGTCCTTGTCGACGTCTAGTCAGTATGACTTTCACGGCCGGAGACATGCCGTGCTTTGGTGGACTCTTGACCTGGTGGAGTGTCGAGGCCTGGCGGGTTGTAGCTAACCGCGCCGAGGCCTGATTTGCCGAGGCCTTGGCGGGTGTTTGTAGCTGACCGCGTCGAGGCCTGAGTTGCCGAGGCCCTAGAGGGAGCAGTTGGGCCTATGCACTGATTCCGAGGCTATAGTGACCTGGTTTAGGTGAAAAAGGAGATTTGACCATTGTCCCATCGCTCCTGTTGCTATACCCTGCCGGTCGTGGCTGTCGTAGCGGGTGCATTCAGGCGCATTAAATGGATGGGACAGCCTGCCAGGGGAATGGTTGAGGCAGAGGCGACGAGGATGCGGGACGAGCCCGGCCTCGGCCGAGGCGGAGAAAGAACAGTACGTCCGAGGCCCTGCCGGGGGGTCTCGGATGAGGCGGAGAATGAGCAGCTGGGCTCTCCTGCTGTTGCTGAGACTTCGGACCGGGGACCTGGACTTGACCTTCCACGCCGCTTTGTTCTTGGCGCAGGGGTTAGGTAGCACAAGGCAGTACGGGTGTCAGTAGGGAGCATAGTGATGAGCACAGTGGCAGGTAACCCCTGCTGCGCCCGGTCCCCTGTCCCGTCAGTCGCTCTGCCCGCACTGTACCCGCGTGCGGCTGACGTTTGCGGGAGTAGTTGGGCGCGTGACGTTTTGTCAGAGGAGTTCGGTCGGGACAGAGGTAACGAGGTTGTTTGCCGAGCCCAGCCTCGAGCGAATCGAAGAATTGGCATCCCGTCCGAGGCCTTTCGGGGCGGGGCCTCGGCGAGAGGGCCTCGGCGGGGCGGGGAGCTTTTTGCCTTTCGCATGAGGCTTCGGCGCAAGGCCTCGGGCGAATCGGAGAAATCTGCTGAGACCTTGCGGTAGTCTTTCGGCTTTGATTTTTACAAGGTTTAAGCAATATTTTTGTTCTTGCTTAGGGTACCCCTTCTTACGGTATCCGACACTATTAGTAATAAAATTTTGTAATGAAAACAATGGACATTGAATAAATCGTTACTTCATCTATTCTGAAATACAAGTAATTCTTAGTTAGTTCATGTCAACTATTTTAACTTTCACAAAATTTGTACAAAAAAGAGTAACAAATTTTATAATATCAAAGATGTATTAGTTGGGATAGAGGGGTTTATGCATTTCTCCTTTTGTCCCCTTTGGAACAAATGTATGCAATTTTTTTCCTACAGCTGAAACCGGCGATTGAGTGCGAGTGACCAGTGACCAGTGACCATCTGTGCCTATCTAGACCATCCGTTCTGCATCGGACGGCGCAGGGCCACCCTGCCGCGGTCCCACTCCCTGCGTGTTTATCCACGCCTCGCGCCGCGCTCGCTTCAGAAACGGCGGCAATGGCGGTGGCGGCGGCCCGACGCCTCTTCTCTTTCCACCTCCACGCGCGCCCTCTCGCCGCCGGTGTTGCCGTCGCGACCCCACACCGCCGCGGAAAGCATGACGCGGTCTCGTGCAAGGCCACGGGGAAAACCAAGCCCAAGCCCAAGGCGAAGGCGAAGGCGGGCAAGGGCGGCGAGCGGCAGCAGAGGCGGGCGCTGGAGGAGCACCTCAAGCGGCGCACCCGTTCCGCGGCTGCCTTCGACGCCGACCTGTACGGCCGGCGCGCCCACGAGCACCACGTCCCCGTCTTGCTTGGCGAGGTCCTCGCCGCCTTCCGCCGGCCCCGCCCGCTCCGCTCCTTCGTCGACTGCACCCTCGGCGCCGCAGGACACTCCCTCGCCGTGCGTATCCACTCGCTCTCTCTTGTGCTCCATTGCTTTTGTTCTGTCGAAGTGTGGCCTCTGATGCTGCTGCCCACAGCGTCTTCGATGTTGTTGAGTGCTCTTGCCCGCTTGCTGTTTGATGAAATGCCCCTCGGGCTTTGTGGTGTAGATGATGGAGGCGCACCCGGAGCTGGAGCTGTACATTGGCATGGACGTTGACCCCTCTGCCCTGGAGATTGGCTGTGGGCACATTGAGACCTTCCTTGCTGGTAGGGAAAGGGAAGCGAATGGAGGGGAAGAGGATGTCTTGCAGGTGACTCTGCGTGCCTACACTCATGTCAAGAACTTCAAGTACATCAAGCAAGTTCTCGGTAGCGTGGATGAGAGTCTAGCGGTTGGCTCTTCTGGAGTTGACGGTGTCCTCATTGACCTTGGCATGTCATCCATGCAGGTCAGTTGTCAAGTTAAAAAGTATGGAAAGTGATTACAAGGCTTCTGCATTTCCCATTTGCTGATTCACATTTCATCTTGTTATTACTTCCATCAGGTGAATAGATCAAATAGGGGATTCAGTGTACTCCAGGATGGCCCTCTTGATATGCGCATGGACCCTAAGGTCAGTGTTACTTTGCTCGTCTTTTCTGTTCTAATCTTCATTCTACTCCTATGATAATGTGTGTTCAAAGAGTATTTCTTCCTTCAATACTGAGGTGCTTTTCTTTAGAGTTTTAGGGCCAAACCCTAGTCTTTTACCTGAAGTCAAAAGACGGTTTAAACCATTACAGCACAGGGGATTAGCCTACCAATCTGAAAGTTAAGCACAAATCCATCTCAAAACTCAACACCAACGAAACACTTGCTTAAGCAGCAACAGAAACTCTAGACTTTAGATATCGATGCCCTCTGCAACAGCTGACATCGGAGCTCTCATCATGAGGGTCTTCTCCATCTTGTAGCTGCAAAATGTCTGTGCCATCACTTGACTCCAGGAACAGTCCCCTTGATGCATCAGTTCTGAAGCCACAACACTAAATCTGCCAGCTTCCTGATATCCTTTAGCTTCTTCAACAGCGACTCTTTTTTCTCTGCCTGGCAGAAAATGAGACAATTCTGTACCATAGCCACTACCTTCAAGAAGAGCAAATCCAAATCCATACCTTCCCACCTAGTTCTCTGGAAGCATAAATCATTTCTAAGTTTCCAGATACACCAAAGCGCTGCAGAAGTTACCATGTTAAGAACCCCATGCTTTTTATTGCTAAACCAGAACTTTCCTATATTTTCGAGCTTACTCCCTACCTCTACATTTAGAACTTGTGATAATATATGCCAAAGCTGTTGCGCCACTACGCAGTCAAAGAAAAGATGTTGAAGAGACTCTTATATCATTTTTGTCGAATTAATCAATTTAGAACTTTATGCTACACTTCCAATGTCCTTTGTTCAATTTTAAAACTTATTTTTACAACAAAGAATGGTCGTGTCAATTCATGTTTGAAGTCCTAAACAGTTGCTATGTCCAAAAAGTTCAGATCAACTTTGGTTTTGTCTTCAAGTTGTATCACTCTTACCTATACATGAAATTATATAGGCAACTTTAAGAGCAGAGGACATTTTGAATTCTTGGCCGGAGCTTGAACTTGGGCGTATCCTGCGTGAATATGGGGAGGAAAGCAACTGGCAATCAGTTCAGAAGCAAATTGTTAAAGCCCGGGCTATGGGCGGTTTGCACTCTACTGGGGATCTTGTCAAACTAATCCAAAGGATGTGTTGCATCTCAAGCGGTATGTGTGATTTTTCTACGATGTTGCCACTAAAGGTGTTATTTTTTTTACTGTCATTGTTATGCAGAGGTTCATTTCTTTTGGTTTTGAATGCCAAATTCAGTGTTCTAAAATTGTAACGATTTACAGAAGTGTCATGTGGTGTTTTCATTTCAGTGTATTTTCTCCTTTCTGCTTGCAGTTTCTCAAGGTTTTTTTTTATGTAGCAAGTACCATATAGTAGAACGTATTTCCAAACAAGCAAAACGAAGATAATTTTGCAAGACATTTGATATAGTTGATAAACTTCAGGGCGGCAAGGCTGGATTAAGACTGCAACAAGAGTGTTTCAGGCCCTCAGGATTGCAGTTAATGATGAACTGCGGGTTTTAGAAGATTCACTCCATTCATGCTTTGACTGCCTAGCGACAGGTGGCCGTCTTGCTGTAATCTCATTCCACAGTCTGGAGGACAGAATTGTGAAGAAGACTTTCTTGGAGCTCATCCATGGGGGTGAAGCAGATGATGAAGAAGACGACAAAGATGACCTGGCACTCACTGACATCGTAGATGAAGATGAACAATGGTTTGGCCAGAGAGTGCAAGGAAGGAATGGAACTGTCCTCACAAAAAGACCAATAACCCCCTCGCAAGAGGAGGAAAAACTAAATCAGAGGTGCAGAAGCGCAAAGCTTAGAGTTATTCAGAAGACCTGAATAATTTTGGATAAATTTTGAAGGATTCCTGAGCACTGCGGCGTGTAATTTTTTGTAGCCAGAGAAATGTGAATGGGATTCTCACTTGTGTGCACAGCCAGCTGCAGTCTGGATCACCAGAAAAAAATACCTCAGTCGGATGTGGTGCTATTTATCCTCGACAAGAAATCTAGAGGCTTAGGTTAGTCAAAAAATCTCACTGTATCTGCATCAGTTTCTGAACTTCATTCATGTCTGAACTTCATTCATGTATATCGGCTCATGTACTCTGTAAATCATTCCCTTGCAAGACACGATAATCAGTTTAGGGTTTTCGAGTCCCCCTTTACTACTTGTTCATCATCCATCTGGCTCTTGTGTTCTTGCCCCTACTTTGATGTGCAATTGTGATTTTGCCCTCGTTTTTCTAACTTTGTGATTTTGCCCTTCACTGTTCACAAGTCAACGCGATTTTGCCCCTAGTGAACGGTCAAAACAGGGACAAATTCGCAAAGATCAGGGGCAAATTCGCGTTGACTTGTGAACAGTGAAGGGCAAAATCATAAAGTTAGAAAAACGAGGGCAAAATCACAATTGCACATCTGTGTAAGGGGCAAGAACACCATTTTCCCTATCATTTTTACAGCTGAACTCCTAGATAAAATTCTAGATCCGGTCAAAGTCAAACCATCTTTTACAAGTTTCACTAAGTTTATAAAAAAGTTATCAATATGTATAGCTTCGAATAGATACTACAATAATATATTTCATGACGAATCTTATGATACTTATTTAATATGATAAATATAGTTTTATACAAATATGGCTAAACTTTAAATCGTTTGACTTAGCACTGTTTTAGAATTGCTTTTTTTAGAAACGGAAATATTAAAATGAATTATCGTGCATATCTACATAGCCAGATCAAAAAAAGATCATCTTTCTGTCAGAAAGCGTGAACGAGAAGTGACGTCGGTGAGGTCACGTCATCCCATCGGGACGCACACAGGCGGCCACGTCTCCTGGCAGCACCACCACTCTTCCCCTCCCAAAATTCCTCCTCGCCTTCGTCAAACGAGCGCGCCCGCTTCGTCGTCGCTGTCGAGTTTGGTGTCCGCCTCTGCCGCGAGAGCCCCAGCCCCACATGGCCTGGCACTCTGGCAGCAATGGCAGCCACAACCTGAGCTGCCAGCCGTCGCAACTGCCACGCGAGCGCCTCCCACTCCACACGTGATTTGATTTCAAGCCGGCGGGAAAGGTGGTGGATCGGAGGGCTCCGAAGATTCTTCTTCCTCACCTCCTCCGGGCGCCTGATAAAGCCAGCGCCGAGCAGCCAAGAATCTCTTGGGACAGAACCGTTAACCGTACGCTCCCTGCTCGCTTCGACCGGCTGGTCTCCCGACTCACGAGAGCGAGCGCGCGGTGGATAATGGCCGCCATGGCGGCGCCCCACTGCGCGTCCTCCTCCTCGGCATTCCTAGGCCTCCCGCGCAGCGACGACGGGCGGCGCTACGGCAACTCATGCCGCTTCGCTTCCACCACTAGGCTGGCGACGGTGTCCGCCACGCTCGACAAGGAGACCGCGGCGGCAAAGCCCCGGAGGACCCGGAACCGCCGGCCCAGGAAGGCGACCAAGTCCGGCTCCACGGCGCTGCTCGCCCCCGACGAGCCCGCGGAGGCCAAGAACGGTGGGGCCACAGAGGCACCGAACGGCGGCCTCGGCGGTAGTAGGGGTATGGTGGCGCTGGACGACGTGATCGTGAACCCGGTGGGGCTGGGCCGCCGGTCCCGGCAGGTGTTCGACGAGGTGTGGCGCAAGTTCTCGCGGCTCGGCCAGATGTCCAGCGCCGCCTCCGCCGCGGTGGCGGAGCAGGACCCTGCCGTCCTCTTCCGTGGCGGACCCATGTGCGACTTCACCGTGCCCGGCGCGCAGGACACCACCGTCCTCGTCGTCGGCGCCATCGGCCGCATCGTCGTCCGCAAGCTCATGCTCCGCGGATACAACGTCAAGGTACTTTTATTCTCTTCTCCCAATTGGCTCATCTTCAGTTACACAGTTTCAATGGCGGTCACTCTAACCGATGCAATGGGTCCATTGGCGTTCATCTTCTTTTGCTTTGTTTCGGTGGGTGGAAATGGAAGATCATATGTTATCATTCTTGAGACTGGTCCACTGGCTGACACCTCACAGAGCAAGAAGTATTTTGCCCGGATGAACACAAAAGTTGGGTTTTGCAGGGTAAGTAAGTGAAGTTTGATGATATATCCTTTGTATCTGGTTCTGCATTGGCCAGGAAAAAAAAATGAAGAAATATCTGATTTGTGCAGGTAAGAGTGCCGTTTTCATCTTTCCACCCAGTAAACCCACAGGATCCTCCACTGGACCCGTTTCTTGTCCACACACTAACCATTAGGTTTGAACCAAAGAAGCAGGTCAGTACAAGCAATTCACAATTATGAATAGAAACTAATTCTGCTGAAGTATTGGCCTACCGGTTACTAACCAAATCCTTGTGCAGAGACCTGGCGATTCATCTGAAGGAGCTAGTGACCAAAGAAACTTTGAGCTCAAAATGGAGTTCATAAAAGCCTTGCCGGTAAGGATTTGCTTTGTGCAACCTGTTGATATGATCATTGTTCGTTAAACTTTCCTTTCATTTCCTTATGTTTATTGTGGTTATTTTCCAGAGTGGTCAAGAAACAGACATTGTACTGGTCTCGTGCACAGGCTCAGGAATTGAAGCTAACAGGAGAGAACAAGTCCTGAAGGCAAAGAAGGTAATTGATGCACATAAACGTCTAAACTATTCTTGATGCACACCTAACGCAAACATTAATCGGCTTTGTATGAATTTTGGTAGGCTGGAGAGGATGCATTGAGGAGATCTGGCCTTGGATATACAATTGTACGGCCAGGACCACTGCAGGTACGCCAACATAAGATAGGAGCACCGAGTCCTTTTCCTAGGGCTGATCAAACAGTATGTGAATTGATTTAATCCGTGCTGCATTCTAACGTGGCATTCGTTTTGCTATTCTAGGAAGAACCTGGCGGTCAGCGCACCTTGATCTTCGACCAAGGGAACAGGATATCTCAGGTGATTGAGCATGAATGAAGTTTACTACGCTATTATTGTTAGAATTAATTGCTATTTACTTTAATCACCTAGTTACTTGTGTAATCTCCTAGCTAGCTGTGCTGAGTTAATGCCCAGCTGACCCCTTGGGGTTCGGCTGGCCTCTTGGGACTCGGCTGGCCCTTTGGGTCACCCTCCTCCTCTTTTTTTATATGTAATCTCTTCTGTAAACTCAATTCAAGGAATCTAAGCCTGTTAGGCTATTGTCTATCATGGTATCAGACTAAACCATTGATCATTCGCTTCGCTCGGCCCCACTCCACCCACCCTGTGTCTGTGCAGCGCACCATGGCCACCTCCAGCTCCTCCGCCATGGCTACATGACCAAGCTCCACGACAAGCCCTCTCGCTACCAAGCGCCTAGAGGATGAGGCCTCCTCTGCGCTCCACCAACCACAGCGCGCAGCCAAGCAGCTCGAGGAAGAAGCTACCCTTCTCAAGTCATTGCCGCCGCCGCCTAGAGGCGTGTCCGCGCGCGCTGCTGCTGCTCTTGACAAAGAGCCTTGGCAGCAGATATACCACGAGCAGAGAGCCGCTGGCCTCCGGGATCACCTCCGCCCGAGCATCCGGACAACGACGCCGATCCTGAGGATGACGACGTCCACTCCGCCTCCTTTGAAGCAGCGGCCATCGCCCACCTCCACACTCAAGCTGCTGCCGTCCAGAACATCAAGAACCTCATCCCTATCGTTCTTGATCTTCAATCCTCCAACTACTCCAAGTGGCGCGGCTACGTCCTCCTCATCCTCGGCCATTTCGCCTTGAAGGATCACGTCCTCGGCGACGACTCCCGCCCTACGATCCGGCGTGGTCACGCATGGATCGTGTCGTCCTCTCTTGGCTTTTCAACACCATCTCCGCCGACCTCACGGGCGTCATCCATGAGCACACGGCGGCCCACCGCCCGGACAAAGCATGGCTCGGGATTGAGCAGCAGTTCCTCAACAATCGCGAGTCCCGCGCACCATGTTCCTCGACGCCGAGTTTCGTGACTCTCCGCCAAGGTGCCCTCTCCATCGATGACTATCGCCGCAAAATGAAGAGCATGGCGGATGCCCTCGCCGACCTCGGCAAGCCCATCCAGACCGAACTACGGTGCTTTGAAGCGTTCTCACGGGTCTCAATGAATGTTTTCAGTTCATGTGTCGGCCACGTCACCCGATGGAGGCTGTTCCCGTCCTTCGCCGATGTTCGTGCTGACCTCCGTTTGGCCGAGCTCAACATGGGGACGCCCTCTGCCTCTCCTTCGGCTCTCGTCGCCGCGCCCTCCATCAGGCCGCCCACTTCGTCCTCGCCTGCGCCTCCACGCCATCATCAGGCCATTGCTGGCCCTCATGTTCTTCTTGGACAGCAATCCATGTAGGCAACGCGGCAACGCCGCCGCCCTTGGCGGGGCGACTCTGGCGGCTCCACAAAGAAGGTGCAGGCGGGATCTGCACCGCCCACACCACAGTGGCCCTCTCTGCTCAACCCCTGGACCGGCTCTATCCACATGTGGCCAGGGTCCACCGCCGGCGGCGCCCGTGGCCCTCCACCACGCGCAGTCCAGCCTGCACCTCTGCAACAGGCTCTGGTGGCCGGCGTGCCACCGGCATACTTCGCTCCACCACCGGCTTCCGGGTCCTACTACCCGCAGCCCCCTCAGGCACCTCCTGCTTGGGTGCCCTGGACGCCCGAGGGTCTCGCTAGCGCCTTCAGCACCGTCTCCCTCACCCCACCACCGAGTTCCTCAGATTAGGTGATCGACTCGGGCGCCTCCTCCCACATCACCGCCAACCCTGGTATGGTCACCGCTACACCATTCTCTTCCTTTCCCTCCTCCATTGTCGTAGGCAACGGGGCCACCCCCACGATTTCTAATTTCTTCGCTCATGTGTCTACCCAATTCAGCTGCACCATTAAATCAGTCCAATGTGACAACGGTCGCGAGTTTGACAACTCCGCCTCTCGTGCTTTCTTTCTTGCTCACGGCATCACTCTCCGCAAGTCGTGCCCCTATACTTCCCAGCAAAACGGGAAAGCCGAGCGCATGATCCGCACCGTCAATAACATCACACGCACCCTCCTCTTCCAAGCTTCCATGCCCCCTCTTACTGGGCTGATGCTCTAGCCACTGCCACCTATCTCATCAATCGCCTTCCCACCAAAACTCTAAACATGAGCACCCCCTTTTTCTCCCTCCATGGCACCCTCCCCTCCTATCATGATCTTCGTGCCTTCGGGTGCACATGCTACCCCAACCTTTCTGCCACCACTCCTCACAAGCTTGCCCCCCGCTCCACCCTCTGTGCTTTCCTTGGTTATTCACCGGATCACTAGGGCTATCGGTGTCTCGACCTCAACACCAACCGCGTCATCATTTCTCGCCACGTTGTTTTCGGATTGAAACAACGTTTTCTTTTTCCTCCTCACGGCCATCCCTCCTCGGAGGAACTTGATTTTCTAAAGCGACGCAGCGACACCATTCCGGTGTCTCCCCTTCTTGTAGGTACACCCGCGCCGCCGCCCCTTCGATTCGTGCCTCTGGCACCATCTTCGCACGCAGCAGCACGCTGGCGGCCCGTGGCCCCGGGTGCTGCCAGTGCCCTCCACCCCGGCACCACCTGCTGTGTCCAGGGGGTCCCGGTCTCCTCAGACAGCGCCCCTTGTACAAGCGCCTTTATACAGCGCCCGCTCCACCCGTCGTCCACGTCCACACCGGCGCGCTCCCCCCGGTGATTGCGCCTCGAAGCCGCCTATTATTCATGTTCTCAAGAGCGCGTGCTCGCCCCGCCACCCAGCGCCCGGCAGAGCGCCTCGACGCTCCAAAGCATGGTCCCTCTCTCACCTCGCTATGTCAAGAGCGATCCTCCGATTCTCTTCTTTGGTGTCTTTGTTTCCATTCGCGGTCGCTAACTCCCACGGCATGGCGACCGTGAAAAAAAGTTCTGCGGCGGCCTCGCCTCGCGCTTTGCATACCGAGGCCTTGTCTCCCCTACCGCGGTCCTGTCGAGATGCCCTTGCTGACCCTCATTGGCGCCAGGCCATGGAAGATGAATATGCGGCTCTTCAGGACAACCACCCCTGGGACCTCGTCCCCCGCCCCACCAAGGCCAATGTTATTACTGGAAAATGGATTTTCAAACACAAGTTCCATGCCGATGGCTCATTGGAGAGATACAAGGCTCGTTGGGTACTTTGAGGATTCACTCAACGCCCCGGTGTTGATTATGATGAAACTTTCAGCCCGGTTGTTAAGCCAGCCACTGTTCGGACAGTCATCACGGTGGCACACTCCAGGGTTTGGCCGATTCATCAACTTGATGTGAAGAACGCTTTCATCTACGGGACTCTTTCAGAAACAGTATACTGCTCTCAGCCTACTGGGTTCGCTGATCCTACACTTCCAGATCATGTCTGTAGACTCAACAAATCCCTCTACGGCTTGAAGCAAGCCCCGCGGGCCTGGTACAGCCGCTTTGCCTCCTTTCTGATCTCTCTAGGGTTCACTGAAGCCAAGTCAAACACATCTCTCTTCATATTCAGCCGTGGCACCGAGACAGTCTACTTGCTCTTATATGTGGATGACATTGTCCTTACGGCTTCATCTCAGCAACTCCTTCACCGTGTCATTGCTGCTCTGAAAAAGGAGTTCGCCATGAAAGATCTTGGACCCCTACATCACTTCCTTGGCGTTGCGATTCGGCCGCCACACGAGGATTCTGTTCTCCTTTCACAACGTCGATTACTCTGGACATACTTGTTTCGCCATGGCATGAGTGATCGCAAGCCTTGCTCCACTCCGATTGACACTTGTGCAAAGGTACCGGCTGATGCCGCCCGTCTCATTGTTGATCCCATCGCTTATCGCAGCCTTGTGGGTGCCCTCTAGTACCTCACCTTCACCGGGCCCAACATTGCCTATGCCGCCCAACAAGTGTGCCTTCATATACATGATCCAAGGGAAACTCATCTTGTCGCCGCTAAGCGGATCCTTCGCTATCTTCAGGGCACCCTCAGCCATGGTCTGGTCATTCCCCGAACAGCCCCAACACAGCTCCGTGTCTACACCGACGCTGATTGGGCCGGCTGCCCGGACACCCGCCGCTCCACCTCCGGCTACGCCGTCTTCCTCGGGGCAGCCTGGTCTCTCTGGTCCTCAAGCGGCAGCCCATCTCTCTCCGGTCCAGCGCCGCAGAGGCAGTAGTACGGGCTGTTTAGCGGCGCGCGCTGAAGCCACTTGGCTGCGGCAACTGCTCCAGGAACTTCACCATCCCCTGGACTCCGCATGCCTCATCTACTGCGACAATGTCAGCGCCTGCTACCTCTCCACCAACCCCGTTCAACATCAGCGCACCAAGCACGTGGAAATCGACCTTCACTTCGTCCGTGAACGTGTCGCCATGGGTGCAGTCCGGGTTCTTCATGTGCCCACCACGTCGCAATTCGCCGATGTCTTCACCAAGGGGCTCCATTCCTCTGTCTTCATGGATTTTCGCTCCAGTCTAAACGTTCGCTCCACCGACGATCTGACTGCGGGGGGGTGTTAGAATTAATTGCTATTTACTTTAATCACCTAGTTACTTGTGTAATCTCCTAGCTAGCTGTGCTGAGTTAATGCCCAGCTGGCCCCTTGGGGTTCGGCTGGCCTCTTGGGACTCGGCTGGCCCTTTGGGTCACCCTCCTCCTCTTTTTTTATATGTAATCTCTTCTGTAAACTCAATTCAAGGAATCTAAGCCTGTTAGGCTATTGTCTATCAATTATATTGTAAGAGTCTCCAGATCATGGCATGCTGATCAATGTACATGCTAATAACCGCTACCATCCAATTTGTGGTCGATGCAGGGTATCAGCTGTGCCGATGTAGCAGACATCTGTGTCAAAGCGCTGCACGATTCGACCGCGAGGAACAAGAGCTTCGATGTAAGATCCTCTAGTCGTCTCCCCTATGATTTCTCTTGTGAGTTCGTTGGTGGTGCAGCAAGCAACTAACCTGGAGGCCATGCATCATATTGTTTGTTCAGGTGTGCTATGAGCATGTTTCAGAGCAAGGGAGTGAGCTATATGAACTTGTAAGCCTACTGTCTTATGCTCATGCCATGCTGTATGTGTGATGCCATGTGGTTTCTGATATGTGGTTAACCAATGTGTGACCTGTGTGAGCTTGCTGCTGCTGCTGCAGGTGGCTCATCTGCCAGACAAGGCCAACAACTACCTGGCGCCGGCGCTCTCGGTCCTGGAGAAGAACACATGATCTCATCAGTGAGCTAGTGAACTGTGAGGTGCACTAGGAATTATACATGTACGGGTTACCTGCTGTGTATTGTGAATACTGCATACCAGACTCCTCTCCTTTTGTACGCATAGAAACCCTACATTAATATACACACACAGCATTGTATTGGGTTATTTGGAGGGAGTAGGTGAGGTAGGAACTTCCGATGTCCAATTGTCCATACTGTTTTTTCCCTCGCAATGTGAAGTCGTCGACACACCGCAGCAGCTGGGCAGTGAGACACTGAGCCCCGGCGGCAGGACAAGGCTGATGACCAGATGGAGTGCCCTGCCTAGTGCCTAGTGGCCTGGCCGGGCATGAAATACAAGTTGTGATGATGTGCTACTATTAGGTACAAGTTGTGATGATGTACTATTAGGTAGAGATGTATAGCTTTTCTGAACGCATCATTTGAAAATTTGAAATATGTAAATGCTCTTGCAATATTCGTCCTCTAATTAAAATATGTGATCGTTGCTGTGAGAACGGTTCCAATGGTAGCTTGTTTGGATACGTTCCTCTAAACTTTAGATATATAAACTTTAGAGCTAAAGTCTTAAAACAGGTGGTCTAAAATTAGCTCTAAACTTTAGCCCACCTCACATTGAGCTTTAGAGTTCAAAACTTAAAACTGAGCTAAAATGCTCTAAAAATTTTTAGAGCTCTAAAGTTTAAAGAAGTGGTTCCAAACAGGACCTAGCATGTTAGCTAATACAAATAAATTGTCCACGTCTTCGATGGCCAACAAATAGATAGTTCTCTTTGTCTAGCTATACCACCCTCTTAATAAAACTACCAAGAGTCCACATTTTATGAGGCACTTCTTCTATACATTAGGTGGCTGATTTTTCATTGTTACTTAGACAACATGTAATTTTACATGTAATGCTCGCCATCTTATGATCTTATCCTTCCATCCCTAGAAACTACTCTCTCCGTCCTAAAACGACAAATATACATGGTCGTAATATCATCTTCCACTTCACTCAGCCTAACACTTTTTTCGAAGGACGCCTCCAACACAGTGACTACGTCATCGGCTTACATTATTTTTTTTTTCAGGCATGAAAGTGAGAGATGGGGAAAAAAATCAACTCACTAGCGACCTGCAAAGTTTATCTTGTACTCCCTCCGTTCTAAATTATAAAAACATTTGGCATTTCTAGATACATACTTTTTATTATATATCTAGACATAATAAATACCTAGGTGCATAGCAAAAGCTATGAATCTAGTAAAACCAAAACCTCACCTCCGAGTCATGACACCCTACGTAGCCTGGAATCATAAATAGAGATGGCGGTTCCACCCACAGGTCATAGCAAATTGGGATTAGAGATGGACGAGGGTCGGGTATGGGTGCCAAATCAAACCCACGGCTGTTTACCGGGCCACGAAATATAAGAGATATTCTATGTAACTAGGTATTCAAATATCATACATTCAACTAGCAATAACATTGTTTAACTAGGCCTTAGACTGTTAGTCCATTTTCAAAAACTTGTATAATCATTCCTTAAAAAAAACTTGTATAATCACATGGTTCTTATGTGTCGTTGTTAGATGACTAGGTATGTGATGGAGGCGAGAAATAATTACTTGTTTCTATAATTTTATATTTATTAATATAGTTATGATGATATATTAGTTATTCCTTCTGTCCCAAATTAAATTTTCATTTCGCATCTCAGGGAGTCAAATAATCCCAATTTAGACCAAATATATATTGAAAATACTAATATTTGTGATACCAGATAAGCATCATTAGAAACTCCTTCCATATATTTTCGTTGTAGATAAAATATTGATATATTTTTTCTTTAAATTTAGTCACCGTGAAGATTTGTTTGACTTATCCAAATGCAAGACTTATTTTTGAGGTGTGGTACCATCTCACCACATCACCCAACCATTGCTGTGCAGCAGGTTGCAACCTTATCCCTCCACCCTCTTACACCACTGCGCAAGAACAAAGCATTAATGAGTTGTTCATATAAAGTTCTAGCTGTTAAATGATTGCTCTATATGGGATGATGGAGTCTTTTGCCACCATCCTTGTATCAAGGTGGTGTTTAAATCTATGAAGTAAAGTTTAGGATGTCACATCAGGTGGCGTATGGGATGTTTGGATACTAATAAAAAAATAAATTACAGAATCCGTCATTAGCACATGTTTACTGTAGCACCATGTTATCAAATCATAGACTAATTAGGCTTAAAAATCGTCTCGCAAATTAGTCGCAATCTGTGCAATTAGTTATTTTTTAGTCTATATTTAATACTCCACGTATGTGTCCAAACATCTGATGTGATAGGGAGTAAACTTTAGAGGGAGAAACTAAACAAGGCCTAAGGAGGTGTTTGGTTTGGCTTCCAACCTGTTGTAGCTTCTGCATAAGTTAAAAAGCTAACCAAAGGGGTTGGCTTTCACCGGTGCTTCCACAAAAGCAGCTTTTGCGTAGTGCAATCTTCATCACCATGCAGACTTGAGACCCGCTTCCCTTAGATTCCACATAACCGAAAAATAAATGACACCAAGGGGGGGTGAAAAATTATCTAAAGCGTTTTGCCATCTATTATGTGAAAACCGGTTCGATTTCTTCCCCCGCGACTCGTCTTCTGCTTCCACGTGAAAGAAGAACCGCTCGCCGCTCCTAACCATTTTGATTTATTTTTCGTCCGAGCGGCCTCCATGGCCGTGCGCCGGTGAAAAATCCCGCCCGAAGATCCGAGGCGGAAACACTACAGTCCAAAAACTACGCAAGTCTCCGTCTCAGGTCTCAACTTCCCTATGACGCATCCCCTCCCTCCGTCCGATAGCGATTGGATCAAACCATGCAAGCTCCCCCGACCTCCGGCCCGAGAGCACGGCAAGCTAAGCAAAGCGCAAAGGCGCCCCCGGCGAAAGTGCGCCTAGGCTACCCTCCAAAGCCGAGGCCTAGGTCGCCGCCCTCCTCGATAGAAACCCGCCCGACCCGCCACGACCTGATCGCTCGAGGGTAAGGGGGCAGAGAGGTCGTGGGCGCACATCATGAAAATATGAGGGCGTGTCAACACATCTTATTAAAGCCAAACGTTCTCCTATCTCTCTCCCTCTCGTTCTCTGCCATGGATGCGTAGCTCCGAGCTGTAGGTGATCGTGGCTGGAAGGGCACAGGCCGCCTCCCCCCGTGGTACTCCCCTCTGCGGTTTTGGCGCGTAGGCCTGGGCAAGCCTCGGAGCCACCTCTCGCCGCCAAGTACCCACCATGGTCGTCGGAATTGAGCCGGCCGATTCCGACCACGGTCCACGTTCACAAGAGGAAGAAGGATGAAGATGACAAGCGGGGTCCGCTTGTCAGTAGAGAAGGTGAGAGTTGAGTGGGGTGGACATGAATGGCATGTGGGTCCGTTGCAGGTGTTTTCAAAAGCTACAGTTGTTCCACCAAACGGTCTTTTGCTTTTTCGCACAGTAGCATTTCCACTATGGATGAAAACGGGACGGAAAATTCCCATCCCGACCGACATCGTATACCGCATTAACCGATCGCATACCGTTTTTGCAGGAAAAACAGGAAACGGGAAAAATACGGGAATTCTGGCGGGGCAGGAACGAGAACGGAATCGAAGAAAGGGTTTTCCCGACCGTATTCACTTAGTTCCGTATTCGCTTTTAGGGAATATTATCGTAAGATATTCCCATATTTTGTATTGTACACCTATACCTCATATTCAGCCCACATCAACATGTAGCCCAACCCACTATGCACTCCCCGTCTGTCCCCGCGCGGACGAACAAAACCGGTGCCATCGCGGCATCACCAAACCCTAACCGTCCATCCATCCCTGACTCGTTCACGCGAATCACGCTGCATCCAGGCTCCAGGCGCCGCGCGCGCGCGCCTCTAGGGCCTCCGACCAAGTCTTGGCGAGGCACCGCCTTAGCTCGGCCTCCATGGCTCCACGGCCACGTTTGACAAGCGGGTGGACAGACCCGTGTGCCCGCCTAAACCGCCTCCACCCGTCGCCGCCGCCTCGGCCTCTGAAAAATAGCCCTTCCCGACCGTCGTGATTCCTTCGAGAATATTATCGCGGTATTCCCCTCCGCCCATCAACATGTAGCCCAACCCACTATGCACTGCCGCCGCCTAACCAGACCCCGGTGGACCAATGACGCCGCCAACTAGGGGTCCTGCCGCCTCTGCTTGCTTGGCTCGTCAAGATCAGCGGCTGCGGGCTCGTCGAGCCGCCACTACGGTGGTGGTGCATAGCACCACGCACGCCAACTACTCCAACTCCAACCCGAGTGTAAATTGCATGTCTTCAACCAATTGAACCACATGTTATATAGGAGTACGTATTGTTACGCTTTGCTAGTGTGCGAACGTAGGCTAGATACAAACCAATGAATGCTAGGTTAATGAAGAAATTACAAATGCTAATTGTTTGTCCGATTGAAAGTGAATGACATTTAGGACATTGACATGGTTGATAAGGTGGATTTTTGATAATGAACTCAATTTGATTATCCGTGAACCTGGTGCTGTTTATTTGCATGTCAGAATTTTCTTTGGCTTACTGCAAATAAAAAGTTTGTCACCGAAGAAGGGGGTATTTTCAATAATAAGAGAAAATTAATGCAGTTTTTGGTTTGCCAAGATTTTTTTTGTTTTTATTAAGTGTTTTAGTGCCTACTATTTACTGTAACTGCAAATACCATTTTTAAACCTGAAACGAAACTAAGTCAGATGGTGTAATAATTTTTCATGGATAATGATTGCCACTCTATTCCAGTGAACATCATTATTTTCAAGGATTACTTCTCTGGGACATCATTTTCATCATTACTGCGGTCCTCATACAGGCTGAATTCTTACTGTATTTTTTTCTTAGCAGGATCTAAGATGTCAAGGTCAACAAGTGGTTTGTGTTTGTCTAGTGCAACTCCTGCATCTAGTCCAACAACAGCAACTGATGATGGGGTTTCTTTGCCAAGTGGAGGTGGCACTGGTAGTGGCAGTGGTGCTGGTGCAGCTGATGTAGGCGGCAGTGGTAGTGGCAGTGGTGGTGGCAGTGGTGCTGCTAGTGGTGGAAATGGTGGTGTTGCTGATGGTGGTGGAAATGGTGGTGCTGCTGATGGTGGCAAGGGTGGACAGCATGGAATAGATACAGCAAATGCCATCATTATTGAGGGTGATGAGCCTGTGCCTGGTGAAGATGATCAGCCTTGTGGAAAGAGGCAGAAGAGGTGCACATCTGATGTATGGCAGTACTTTACCAAGAAGAGGGTGGTCAAAGTGAAAAAAGATGGGAAGAAAGGCATCACTGCTATGGTACCATACAGGTATGATGAAGAGGCTAGCTTGAGAAAGTTTTACCTGGCAATAGTCATGCATGAGTACCCATTTAATATATTCGAGCATGAGTATTTTGTTGAGTTCATCAAATCCCTGCGTCCTACCTTTCCAATCAGATCTTGGGTTACCATTAGGAAGGAAATTATAAACATGTTCTTAGCTGAAAAGGACAGGTTGTATGACTACTTCAAATATGTCTCTTGCTGGTTTAGTGCCACCATGGACATGTGGACTTCAAATCAGAACAAGTCATACATGTGTGTCACTGTACATTGGATAGATGACAATTGGTCTATCCAGAAAAGGATTGTGAACTTTGTGCATGTAGAGGGTCGTCATACTGGTACAAAGCTATCAGAGACATTTACTGAACTTATGGTTAAGTGGTATATTGACAAGAGAATGTTTGCTCTGACCTTGGACAATGCATCAGCAGATGAAGTAGCAGTCAAAGACATCATCTCTGATCTAAGGCCAATGCTAGTGCAACGTCTTTGATATGTGATGGAATATTCTTCCATGTGAGGTGTGCTTGTCACATCCTGAACCTTGTTGCTAGGGATGGCTTGAGTGTAATCACACCCACAATTGAGAATATTAGACAACTAGTTCTTGCTGTCAAAGGATCTCCATTGCAATTGGAGGAGCTCATGAAGCGTGCAACTGAGTGTGGATTGGATACAAACAAGGGGCTTTAACTTGATGTGTCAACCAGATGGAATTCCATGTATTTGATGCTTCGAGATGCTTTGTACTACAAGAATGCATTCATGAGGCTAAAATCGTTAGATCGCCGTAGGTATGAAAAAATCACTCCTCCTACTTAATGGGCCATGGCATTTAAACTGTTCCAATGCTTGAAGAAATTCTTTGATCTCACTGAACTGTTGTCTGGTACTTTATATCCCACTACAAATTTGTTCTATAGAGGGTTTTGTGAGATAAAGATTTTACTAGATGAATGGTCAGTTTGTCAAGATACCACTATCAGTGCAATGGCAAGTTCTATGAGTAGGAAGTTTGAAAATTATTGAAAGAAATCATCCACTACACTTGTTGTTGCCTGCTTTCTAGACCCTAGATATAAGAAAAGGCTCATAGAGTTCTACATGAGAAAATTTCATGGTACCTCATCTCAAGTTTATGTTGATGAACTTGTTGATGTCATCAAGAAACTGTACCAATTCTATGCTACTGCTGCACCTTCATCTTCGAGGCCTAAAGGTGGGTAAAATGATGCTAAGGATATAGATACAGCTGACCTGTTAGTGGACAATGGAGACGATGAACTAGAGAACTTCTTATATGAGCCTTGTGGGCATGATGTTGATGATATGAATGAGCTGGACAAGTATATGGCAGTTCCGTCTCTAAGGCTAAGTGGTCAGTTTGATATCTTGGCATGGTGGAAGAACCAGACCAATGAGTATCCTGTCCTTTCAAAAATAGCTCGTGATTTGTTGGCTGTACAAGTCTCAACCGTCGCTTCTGAATCTGCTTTTAGCGCTGGTGGACGTGTTGTTGATCCTTTCTGTAGCCGCCTTGATCCTAAAATGGTTGAAGATTTGATATGCATGAAAGATTGGGTTGCTGCAGGAAGAAAAGGTTAGAAAAGCATCTCAGTTTTAGTTGTTGTACAATATTTTATTATAATCATGCTTGTTGATATATGAGTCTTGGCTTACTTTGATTTTCAAATAAGAAGATTGGTTCAATTGTTGGTGATCTTGAAGTTATTGAGGCCCTTACTTCAAAGCTGAAGATTGAGGTATTGTCAACTGAGTTATCTTTAAGTCATTTTGCTACATTGTTTGTTACTGTAAGACTGATGCCCTCCTATTTGTTGTAGGACGACGATGTCGCGGACAGTGATGACGAAGTAGATGGGCCACATGCAGATGATCTGGGCTTCTTTGACATGTAGTGTTGTCTGCTGCTTATGATATGTTCATCAGTTGAGTGTTGGGCTATTGGCAGCTGCGTTGTGCCTGTGCCTGTGTGTGTAGTTGCCAGCCTTGCCTGTGATGTACTGTTGTGTGCTATGTACTATGAGACTATAAATCTATGATCTTAATATCTTATGAACTTATCTGCGTCTTATTCATTTGTTTGAATATGGATTATGCATGGTTGCAATTGTTGCATCGAGCTAACTGTTTTAAGTGGTTACACTTATATGTATCGATGTTCTCGTTTTGTGTTATCAATTCCCGATCATAATCCACATGTTCCCGATCGAAATATTCTATTCCCGATATCATGTAATATCATTCATTTTCCCATCCGGCTTTTCCATCCCCGCTACCGTTCCCGGCCAAAAAATACAAGAGCGGGAATGGTTAAGGTGTTTTCCCGACCGTTCCCGACCGCTTTCATCCCTAATTTCCACAACAGCTTTTCCACAGCCCACAGCTCACAGTAGTTTTTTCAAAAGCCATAGCTCAACCAAATAGGGCCTAAGTCTAGAACAACAGATATTAAAGGACGTAAGGAGTAGGAATTGTGTGAAAACCATCAGCCGTAAAAACCATCAGCCGAACACTCGGCTTATCAGACATGGTATGGTATTTTTCTCTAACAACAAAACAGCATCAGCCGGCTTATCAGCCGTAAAAACAATCAGCCGAATAGCACCCAGATTCAACCCTCTTTTTACCATTAGTAAGAACTTGTTTCAGCTGCATATTCGAAGAACTGCCTCAAATACGGTATCAGGAAGCATTGCTGGGGAACTTCAATTGGCACATACAATTTGTCCAGTTGCTTCCCGTGGGTTTTCACAATGCTGATGCGCAAAAATGGGATATGCGTTTGAAATAGATGTGCGAGTTATTATGTATATCATGATTGATTCGGTCGATATTTTTTACGGCTGATAAGCCGACTGATGCTGTTTTATTATTAGAGAAAATACTGTACCATGTCTGATAAGCCGGGTTGATAAGTTCTAGCGAACTAGGCCTAGCACCCCCCATAATCACAGCACCGATTCGCACAACCTGGAAGCCTTGTTTAAATTTAGGGCCACGTTCAGTTGCACCGAATTGGTGCCGGCAAATTCACTGTAGCGCCGCCAGAAGCACTGTAGCATTTCGTTTGTATTTGGTAATAATTGTCCAATCGTTGACTAATTATGCTCAAAACGTTCGTCTCGCAAAGTACAACCAAACTGTACAATTAGTTTTTGATTTCGTCAACATTTAGTACTCCATGCATGTACTGCAAGTTTGATGTGACGGGAAATCTTCTTTTTGCATAGTGTTAAAGTTGGGAATTTGGAAGGAACTAAACACACCTTAGGGCGTAAAGTTTTGGGGTGTCACATCGGGTGTTACATGAAGTGTTCGGATACTAATAAAAAAACAAATTACAGATTCCATCAGTAAACCGCGAGATAAATTTATTAAGCCTAATTAATCCGTCGTTAGCACATGTGTTACTGTAGCACAACAGTGTCAGACCATGGACTACTTAGCCTTAAAAGATTCGTCTCGTAAATTAGTCACAATCTGTGTAATTAGTTATTATTTTAGTCTATATTTAATACTTTATATTTGTGTTTAAACATGCAAACGTTTAGAGGAAGGCCTAAACTCTAGAATTTCGCGGGGGAAATCAGGGTATCTATATCCACTGTGTACTTACTTTGAGAAACGACAAACTGTTGGTCACCGAGACAGCGTTGACCGGTCAAACCGGCTCCCCATCCCTTCTTCGACCGCTGGTCCAGCAGCGGCTCCCTGCTGCAGCCCTGTTGCAGCTGCTGCGCCGCGTGAGGTGAGGAAGCAGGCAGGCAGAGGCCAGTCCCAGGCAGGTCTCCCTGCACCAGCAGGCAGCAGGCAGCAGGCAGCTCGGCCTGCCTTTGACTGCCTGCCTGTGCCGCTGTGCGGGCACACTGCACTGCCCGTCGTTGCCATCGATTCCTCCCAGGCTCCCACCTTGCCTTCGCTGCCGCTGCCTGCCTGCCGACTTCTCTCTCTTTGTCTAGTTGGCTGCAGCCACCAGGCACCACCAGCCATTGACCCACTCACCAGTCACCCACCCACCCGCGCGCCGCCGCCGTCGCCATCACCATCACCGTCGCACGCGCACCGCTCCCAGCCTCCCCTTCCCCCCTTCCCCTGGCTGCTTGGTTGGTTAGTTGGTTGGCTCAGTAACGGGCAGCACGGCACGACAGCACCCACTCCCGTCTCTCCACATCCAGGGAAGTACTCCTCGCACTCGCGCGCAGATCCACCCACCCATCGTTCCGTCCGTACACTTGCCGGCCACAATCCCCTCCGGGCTCCAGGAGGACGGCGGGATGAGGGGGCAACCCAACGGAGTGGAGGACCGCCGGCCGCGGGGCGACGACCACGAGGCGGACGACGACGACGAGGACGAAGAGGAGGAGGAGGGCCGCCACCGGGGCCAGGGCCCGCCGCAGCAGAGGCGGAACCAGGCCCAGAGGCCGTCCTCCGGCCCCCAGCAGCAGCAGCAGCAGCCGCGCCCGCCGCCGCCGCTCACCAGGAACGTCGGCTACGTCGGCAAGCGCCGCCTCTCCGCCGCCATTGCCCGCCTGGACCAGGAGCTCCAGTCCCTCCAGGTAACTGCACGACTTGCTCCCCTCCCCGCCCTCCTCCTCTCAGCTTTGCTCGATCAACATCCCATCTCGGCCGGCCTGCCTGCCTGCCAGCCTGCCTGCCTGGACGACTCCTAGCTCCTCAGTAGAGTCAACCAGCTGGCCCGACCTTCTGCGGGAGCTGTCCGCGATCCAGATCTTGCCTGCCGCATAGCAAGCTGCACGATTATGTAAGCATCCAATCCAGTGCCCCAACTGTGCCCTGCGCATCGTATATTCCTGCACGACTAGTTATGCGTTTTGCCTCTATGTAAGTAAGCAAGCAAAGAGAGAATATCTTGATGTCTAGTGCTGGAGTGGAAAACTGGAAATGGAGGCCCAATACTTTATTACCTATATATATATATGTATGCAATAAGCTAATTGTGACGATATACCATAAGATTGCCCTTCACAGCATAGGTGTGTATTGGCCATTTATAGCTCGATTTGCATGATAGACAATCTTGAGCTGTCAGCAAGCAGAAATGCTTAAGAAAAATGTTCTTATCGATCCTCACTGTGCCAGAGTAACTCTATTGGAAAGGAAACATTGGAAAGAAATTGCCGGCCTTATTACTCGCCATTTGCACCTATCTCTTGTTACTCTGTCACTCCGTCTAAACAAATACCGAGCCGTTTCTTCTGGGTGGAGGATCATCTGGAACTTGTTAGTGAGGCGTCGTTTTTTGGAGTAACACTTTACAGGAGCTTATAACTAGTCGTTATGATTTGCCATTCCGTTCTTTGATTTGTTGCCATCTAGAATTGGTGAACTGATTCGTTGAGTATCAACCTATCTGGTGCTTTTCCAGGAACAGACAGTTTCTTTGCAAAAGATGAGTAGAACACTAATCTTAAAAAAAATCATTCCTCTTTAATCACCTGAGTGTTTGTGTTTAAAAGGAATATTAATGATTGATGCTTGGTGCAGACTAATTGTGTTCCCCATTAGTGAATTTATCATGTGTCAGTGTTTCAAAATTTATCAAAAAAATCATGTATGTAGTGCATATAAAATTAAATATAGCTACAATGATTCCCTAGATGTCAAGAATCAAAAGGGGCAAGCAGTCAATCTGGTACTATTCATCATGTACTCATAGTACACATGAAGTCAAATAAAAGCTTAAGAGGTGGTCAAGTCAGGGAAGTGGATCGATCTGGTGGCTTTGGGTCTTTCTGGAGTCTAGAGAGTTTTGCCTTGGAGCTCGTTTTAGAGCTGTGTTTCTGGCTCATTTTTCTGGTTGATGAGTTGAGCGTGGTATCTTTTGGTGCTACACTTGTTCGAATTTTAGTGATGTTTTTTTTAAAAAAAAAAAGTTTTGCAACACATTGGGTTAACTTTATTTTGGCTAAAGGGGGCGCCGTGAACCCAAAGACTAATGGATTATTGACAAAACTGGTGCAGATTTTGTGAAACAAGGAAACTAGAAGAAAGGATTGTAATTTGTTAGCTATCTTGTCCGCAATTATACATCGTACATTTTTGTTATTAGAGCACTATATTCTGTGTCCTTTACATTAGCATTAGGGAACTACATATGATTTACTTCCATATCAACCGGTTTTGCATCCTGTTAGTATTAAGTTAGTGTATGGTTCAGATGATGGTAATGTGACTTGTTTACGAAGGGTAATAGATCCCATTGCATGGTGTTTGTTTTAGGCCTCATGTAATCGGATCACGCCGTTATTGAATACGGGCCTTCAAAAAAGTGATAATGCTCCCACCACGACGCTATCCGATACCGAGTGCTGTCTCCGCTAGCCTGGACACTCGGGCCTTGTAGTTCGCTCAATTGATCATCGGGTCCTGTGTGAATGAAGGAAGCACGAAACGACAAGATGCATGTAAAAAGTGACTCTGCTTTGCTGTCTAGTAGCTTCTGTGTTGATGTTACCGAAGCTAACCAAACAAATCAAGTAATTCCTTACCATGTTTACGTTAGCGCTGTTTATCCAATCCCTTTGCGATGGCGTTTCCTTATCCCAACCAAACACTACCCGTGTAGAACTAGAGCTGTAAAACTGAAATCTCACAGGACTGGCCTGTGCTTTTTGGCACTTGTATTTCTCAGCGAAAATTACATAATTACATTGAATATTTCTCAGCGAAAAGTACACAGAATTGCAGTGGTTTGACTTTTGTTTGTGTTGCCCTTTCAGTCTTTTACAAATACCAAAAAACTTGAATTCCTAATATCCGTTGAAAATATTTTAAAAAGGATCCGAAATTGCAGAACCTGTTCTTCTGTTCTGTGTATGTCCAAAACCCTGTGTCTACAGACAAGCGCGTTTGGGAGGTTAGGCTATAGCCTGTATGTCTGTATCCTTCAGAATGTAGGATGGAGTGGAAATCAGAACTTGTAACTAGTACCTAAATCCTACAGAGTGCCTGTGGAATGATCTATTTGTATGATTGCTCTGAACCAACAACTTATTCATATTTGGGGTCAAAGTTCTACCTCTTTTTTCTTTTTGTGAAGGCAAAGTTCTGCCAACTTCACTAGATAGCATGTTAATACAATATCAACTCTCAGTGTGCGTATACTCTTGCAGGAAGAACTGGATGAGCTTGAAACCATGGAATCTGCATCCGCAGCATGCCAGGAGTAAGCAGATTTGAGTGTAGCATTGTGTTTTTCCACATCATCATGTGCTGTTTCTTCCCGTTGTTGATATATGCTGTCCTTGTGAACAAAACAGAGTGATCACGAGTACAGAAGGGAAACCTGACCCGCTTCTTCCTATGTAAGTGCTGATCCTCCGCTACACCTCTTCTTATTTTCAACTGCCACTACCATACCCTGCAAAATCCTTACAGTACCAGTGGTCTCTCAATCTTATTTACAGTACCAGTGGTCCGGAGAACTCTTCTTGGGACAGGTGGTTTCAGCGGGTCCGCTCCCGCAGCAACAAATGGTGGGCATCAAAAGGCTCTGACTTCTCGTAGCTTCTGCAAAGCTGAGATCATCCTCATTAGTTGTGTGCAGATTAAAATGAAACCTGTTGAAATGTATCATCCATTAGTGTCCTGGGAAACAGAATAGGCGGCTGATAGGTTTTTTTGGAGAGAATCATTGTGTATGTAGTAATCCCTAACAAGGCTGAACATCGATGTATCCACATCAAGCCTGATTGTTGCTCGCAAGATAGTCTTGGGACCATTTTCCTACAGATTGACTGACTAGGTCGGATTTCTGCTGGTCATGTAATCTTGCTGTTCTTTTTCCCACCTCCTGCAAACGTGAAGATCCACATTGTCTTCGAAAAGTTTCAGAAAAGAGAATCAGATTGAACATTGTGCTGTGCTGCTTATGGGCACTGTTCAGTTAACCTCATGTCTTAAGAAGTCCGATGCGTCTCTGCTACTCCAAAATTCCTATTGTATTGTGTTCTGCATCATCCAGATACATTCCTGTTCGCTTATGCTGAAATTTAGTTTATGCTGATACTTACGTTGAAATGTCGTGAGAGGAAAACACTGTTCCAATATTGTGTTTTAAAACCCTATCTTGTAAGTTCCCAAAAAAAACTCTATCTTGTAATATATTCCACTCCTGAGGCATACTAATGCTGGTCTTCCGAAATGGTGGAAACGCAGACCTTTTACCGATATTCACCCTGTTCGCTAGTTAGTGCTGGTGCTGGTTTGGGCTGGCTGGTGCTGGTTTTTTGTGAGAGAAAACACTGTTGGCTGGTTGGATAAGCCTGGCTGAAACCAACAAGCGAACAAGGTGATAAGGAGAGAAGATAGTTAAAACTTGCTAAACCTATACACAGCCTAGGACAACTGGATGCAAGAGAAGTTTAAGCTCATATCACAGTCCAACATCAGCATACATACGTACATTACTACATTAGCCATCGGATGGTGACTATGATGTTAATTCAAGTTTTGCGTCAGACACTGAACAGTTGCTTGATGGTACACGCGCCACATGTTTAGTGCGTGCGCAAAAGATAACAGCCACGCAGTAGCTGCATCGAAGATGTTACGGGCAACAGGTGGCCGACACTGCGACTATCGCGACGCTGTCCACAGAAGCAAGCAATGGAATTCTTGCTCCTGCTCTCGTATGTCCTTGACGCGTGATACACACCTACACACCAGCTGGGCGAAAATTCGACGCCAGTCCCATTGTACAACTGCATCACAGAAAACCGTTCACACCACTGCCTCGCTGCATGTGCTCGACGACCTATCCTAGACAACCATATGTGCAAACCTACATTCCTATTCCCTACTGGTACAGTGTACTCTACTTGGCGTATCCAAATTCATGGAATAAGTTAGAGGGCGGAACGCTGCTACCCTTGGATTTGGCGGGTGCCCACTTGGGCAGAACCCTGCCAGACGCCACGGGCTTCGGGACGCTGCACAGATCGTCCACATCCACCACCTCAGGCCCATCCAGATCGGCGTCGATACAGCGGGCGCCATGGACCATGCTCGCGGCGTCAGAGACAGTTCGCGCCTTGGCCGCGCGCTTCTTGGACTGGCCCGTAGGTTCCTCAAAGTCATCGTCGCCGCAACTCGCTGCAGAGCTCGCGGTGGAGCCCCTTCGCTTCTTTGCCGCCTCGGAGTGCTCTTTGCCGCCGCTGCCGCTGCAGTTTCTCCTTGGATTTGGGTGTTTGCTGAGGAAGTCCTCGATGGTTGCAAGCACGCGGTCCCCGTACTTCTTGACCTTTGTCCTGAAAGAAAACATGTGAAACATGAATGTAGTTGCCGCTACTACATCTAAAATGGTAAAGATTATTTTCGTAAACAAAAGATGGCGGCGTAAACAATTCAAAATGGCAGAGTAGATGCATTACTTGCCGATGCCGTTTATATCCAAAAGTTCTTCTTTTGTTCTTGGTACTCGGATGCTCATCTCCTTCAATGTGTCAGTTCTGAAGATGGAAAGCTCAACCGTATCAGGGGCCAGTGAATGCTTCCACAAATGAAGGTGCAACAAACAACTTACTTGAATATGTGGTACGCATGGTATCCTTCACTACACTCCTCCATTATCTGTTGTCTAAGGCTAAGTAAAGCTTTGTAGAGCATCGATGCAAGATTCTGCAAGAATGAGAAAATAGATATTGCAACAGAGAAAGAACATATAAAGACCCAACACCACAAATCTGCACCAATCTAGATATTCAAGTCTTTACCTCATCAACTTCATTTTGCTGCTGAACAATCTTATTGATTTGTGGAAATAATGATGCATCAAGATTCCCCATCTTGGAGGCCTTGTCATGAGCAGGAAACCTGCAAGATAACATTTTTTAGAGAACTACCAGCTGTTCGTTGTTCAAACATACTTGGAACATGTTAGTTTCAAGAAAAAAAATGTTCATATAATATGCCAGTTTCAAGAAAAAAAAAGGTATTAATAGAATATGAAAGATTGAAATTCAGGTCACACCAACTCAAAACTCAAATTGAAAATGCCAACACAGGGAGATAGAGGATGCTAATGCAGCAAAGAATGTGAATAAGTAGAATCAAACTCAAATGTATCAGGGTTTCATGGAGTATGAACAACACACTCCATTATGTCACATCCTGATTTATAAAAATAATGTTTCCAGATTATGATTCAATTCAACCAAATATCAATTGACATTATATATTAGTTTCTGCAGCAACAAGATCAATGTTAAGTATTATTTGCAAACCAAATGAATTAACCCTGTTGTGCAAACTCAACCAGAACAGATAGGTTAAGAAAACATGAAAACATTGTCCTTACAGGTCAGCCCTAATAACCCAGAGAGGCTACTACTGACTCCTAGAAATTTATAAACAGTAACCAGTCAGGTCACAGAACTATAAATCACTGATCCAGGGCCAATGTAACAAACCAGTAACCAACCAATAGCTAGATGGTCTCAGATAACCTAAACCAGTCAGGATTTCAAAAAAAAGGCCAAAGTAGGATTTTTTCCCCCAGTTGTGAAATGCTCCTACCAGTTTTAAGCAGTATGTCTTAAATACAGTAAAAAAATAAACCTTCATCATACTGCTTGACATCTAATGCCAACAGTAGACCTTACAATGATTCAGATGTGAAGGTAAAAGTAGCTTACTGTGACAAATCACTCTTTTACATGCATGCATATTAATATATATGATCAAAGGAATATTTCCTACTTTTCATTTTAAAAAAAGGTAGCATTCTAAAAAAAACAAGATGTGTCTATCAACTTGAGAAAAAAACAAGTTCATATGTGACTTAGATAATATTGCATTCAAATCATGTGATAAGTTTGGTGGTTGTAAAAGGTAGAAAACTAACTTCAGGACGATGTTGCGTTTGCCAGAGCGAAGATCGCTAGCTTTCAAATGATTAACCTGCTTAACCAAGATTATGTTAGACCTATGCCTGCTACAGTGCTGCCAAGATTGGAGACAAAAAATAAATAAATAGAAGCATTTAGTCTTGAAATAAACCAAGGCACATCAAGTATTTTTCACCTTGAGGACAGATGACATCGATCCGTACATATCGCTCTTTTTCACATCCTCAATAAGTATTTCCTCAGTTACTAAATGTCGCATTATCCTTGCTGCCTCACCTTTCGCTAGATGCTTCCCAGCTCCATGAAGAGCTAAAGCATCATGACGCTGCTTCTTGACCTATGGGTAATGAGTTGTGTTACCGTTAGCATATTAGTGTTGCAGGGACAGTTGCCCCCCGGTGGCAAGATCCTACACTAAAAAGATCAGAACATGATCTTGATTAGGTATCTGAGCACGTACGTTTTGGCTCACAGACCCTCTGTAAACTTCAAGAATGTAAGTAGATGAATGTGAGTGCCCTGTCCTTGTGACTAGCTCAACCTAAAGAAGCAACAAAACAAGAGTTTAGGTTCACATAGAGAGAGATGTCTGAATGCATTTGGAAGGGGCACATCTGTCCACTTACCAATTGCCTGGCAATGTTGGTAACATCTTTTTCGACCCATCCTGACACTTTCAAGCAATTATCACAGGTTTTTGCACAAAGCGAAGGGTCAAACCTCTCTCCAAAGTGGATCAGTTGAAGTAGACGTCTGCAGTCCACATCATTTTCACAATAACTGACCTGCAGAAATATAAGATACGACATTTTTTTTTCATGGTTTCCACACTTCGTAGTAACAAACAAATGCGTGCATATAGAATTTTAGATACCATCCTCAGGAGATTGTCCTTATGTGTCTTCAGTGCTTGCTCATCACGTGGTGCTCCTGTTTGCTCCGCAACTCCTTGTGTAATCATATGTCGGACCCGAATCTGAACATTTTGTTAAGAAAATTACTTGTTTGTGATACAGTACAAAGATAGTAAGAAGTGGCCAACAAGGTATTAAGGTACCAGTAGACTTACATAGTCAGAATACTGGTAATATAGCAAACAAGATGAAGGTTGCCCATCTCTACCCGCACGTCCACACTCCTATGAGAATGGATCAATCACCAGATAGCTTCGGCTTTACAGTTCCATTGTGCTAATGTCATGAAACTTCAGTTATGAGATATACCTGATGATATCCTTCAATTGACTTGGGCAGTGAATGATGAATAACAAAGCGAACATCAGGTTTATTGATACCTACAATTTGTCCTATTAGAATGGAACACCCAATAATAGGCGTTCTATACAAAGGCGTTTGAAAGATTAAGTTACCCATCCCAAATGCAACTGTAGCACAGATTATGTTGATCTTATCCTTGCTCCAAAGCTCCTGTATACGTGTTCTATCCACAGGATCCATGCTACCATGGTAGTGTGATACTTTGTGCCCACATTCCTGGCAAAGGGGAAAAAATGGAAGTAGTTAGAAGTTATAGCTGGCGGAAAGGTCAAGATCTACATGACAACATAACAAATATTAGTACTAGGGTAGGCCAAATTTTCATTGGATGATTAAATTTAGTTCACTGTTCAAAATGTGCCACGCAACTCCGCCTATGTTGTCTCAACATAGCAGGTCCCAAGCCTTGGTAAAGGAGGAGGGTTGTGATAGGCGTGGCGAGCCAACGTTAAATCTAGCCATTCTAATGGAGATAAAAC